GCTACATTCATTAAAGATAAAGGCAATTGGTCGGTTAACAAACATAAACTCACTCCTCCCAGTTGCGCGCTGACGACGACGCCCTAGCTTAGCGCCTCGCCTCCTCGCTCGCGCTCGGCGTCTAAAACTGCGCATGCGTAAACTAGCTTCTCATGAACATGCGCGGTGCGCACTTGAGCGACAAGTTATGAGCCCGGACATCCGCCAACCCGAGACAGGAACGGTGAAGTGGTCAAAAGTCATGGCAGGAGGGAAGGGGTGAGAGGTACTCACCCCTTCCTGTAGGGGAGACAGTAGTGAGTTAACCCACTTCCGACGTATTACCGGGAAATGTGAAACCTACTACAGTGTGAAGGGTTGTAGGTCAGCCATGTTGGATAAAAACAGAGCTCTACCTGTGCATGCTGAAAACTTCGGTTGTTAAGCCTCACAGGCTCACTTGCACTTTGTCATCATTACCCTCATATCTTCATCAACTTACAATAAGACACATGAGAACTCTATACAAGACAGAAGTATTCAGTGTTCATCTCCTTTAGGAGCCCTGGTGTAAATGACCTGGCTGTGATGCTTGAGCACCAGTTTCACAACTCCCTTGGCCAGCATCTCCTCAAGGGCTCGCCGTGCCAGCGAGGCCCTGATCTTTAACCTCTCTGACACCACGCCGGTGTGATGAGCTTGTAGTTGGGGACCTCCTTGTACAACTTGTCGTAGGTGGCCTTGTCAAAGAGACACAGGTTGTTGAGTTTGTCCCTCACTTTTCCCTTGGACCACTTCTACAAGAGAGAGAGAGAGAGAGAGAGAGGAGAGAGAGAGCTAAGCTTTCTCGAAGTTTTCTCATTCAAGTCTCCCTTCTACACAGCACACAAGACACACGAACAATAACGCACACATATGAAAAGACTATATAGCTCTCATACCAACGTGCTACGGGCTTTCTGATGATCGGAAACGCGAGATGATAATATAGCTCACCTTCTTCTTGGCCTTGCCGCCGCTCCCCGCTGGCTTGGCCTTCTTCCCCGCCGCGTCCTTGCCCTTTGTCTGTGTCTTCCCTCCCTTCGCCGGCTGCTGCTTCTTGGCCGGCTGGCAGTCGAGGAGAGAGAGGGAGAGAGAATGAGACAGAGAGATAGAAGAAAACACGATATGCGCCACTCACCATTTTGTCTGATTACGGAAGGCGAAGAACCACGAGGCATTGCGCATGCGCATAATCGCAAAGCGATTTCTTCTGCTGGCAGCAGCTAGAACCGCTGAAACTTGCAACGCCGAACCATGTCTACAGAGGAGTTTGAGAAGGCGGCCGAGGATATCAAGAAGCTCACGGAGCGACCCACCAACGAAGAGCTCCTGGACCTGTACGCCCTCTACAAGCAGGCCGCAGTGGGTGACTGCAACACTGAGCGTCCGGGCATGTTGGACCTGAAGGGGAAGGCGAAGTGGGACAAGTGGAACGCCCTGAAGGGAATGGGCAAGGAGGAGGCCCAGAAGAAGTACGTGGAGCTGGCAAACTCCCTGCTCGCCAAGTACAAGTCCTAGGGACACTCGGAGCTATAGAATGAAAATGTTTTGTACAGAGAAATCAATAGCTACACTGTGCAGGTTTTTGTGAACCATTGTCGCATTTCACTGCAATATTATTGTGTGTGTGGTGTGTTTGCTGTTTTTGAGTGAGAACCCTTCGCAGCTCTATTATGTGCACACTGCACTGACTCAGACACCACAATATAGTAGCTTGTACGGGGCCACTTCTTGAAGAGGTGCATGTTACAGCTATAGGAAAATCGCTCATTGGTGACCCTGTTGCCACTTGGCAATGAATCGGCAATCAGCATCTTTTCATTCGAACAGCATAAAAAAATTATATAGCCAGCAAGATTTTCTAAGAGCACCAGTTGGTGAACCAGGGTCTCTGGAAGAGCTGCTGCACCTCCTCCAGCTTGCGTCCCTTGGTCTCCGGGACAAGGAGAGCCATGAACACCAGACCCAGTATCCCTAGTCCCGCGTACATCCAGAACGTGGCCGGCTGTCCAATACTGCAGACAGACAGGCAGGCAGGCAGGGAGGGAGAGAGGGGAGAAGGAAAGTGGAGAGGGGAGAGGGGAGAGAAAGTACGAGACAAGGAGGGAGAATGACACTTTCTACTATCACGTAACCTTTCTCCCTCAAACTGTCCCGACATACACACAAATTTTCACAAGGTGTTCTGAAAACGTAAATTGCAACATTTCCCGACCCCAGCCATGGAGAGAGAGAGAGAGAATCTAAATAACACACACCTGTCGGTGAGGGTGAGAAAGGTCATGGAGACAATGAGGTTACACAGCCAGTTGACCGTGGTGGCGATGCTATGGCGGTACTGCGGGCCCATGTGGGGTAGATCTCTGCATTGATGGTCCACGGTAGGGGCCCCATCCCCGGGGCAAAGAAAGCAATGTAGATGAAGAGAACCACGATTGTCAGAGAGGCGAGCTTGCTGTTTGGGCAGCTGGTGAAAAACCACCTTCGTTCTCTATCATCAGAGGACGAGTTGCTGCCAGGCAAAGTGTCAAATTCAGAGGCAAAAAAGTTTGAGTTTGTCATGTCAGTGGGTGTGGTCTCAAAGTATAGGAGACATGTTCTGTTTGGAGTACGATATTTACTCATCATTTCTCTATTGATCTCTTCGGCCGGGGTGCACGTTCCGTTCACGAAAGAGCCGTCGTCCACGTGATCGACACAGAATCCACACTGGGAGTTACCGACACACGCCCCGCATGAGGTGAGGTCACAGTGATCTCGTTGTCTGGGTGTGGCTTCAGGGCTCTCGACGTCCATGACGTAAAACGCGGCCCCCAGGAGTGCCAGACTGAAGATGACCCCTGCGCTACTGCCGAGAAGTAGCTTCCGTCGCCCGATGCGGTCCACCAAGATGAGGCCCAGGATCGTGAAGATGAAGTTCCCGAAAGCAGGAATGGCGGCAAGCCAGATTGCATCTCTGTCAGGGAACCCCGCCATCTGAATGATGGAGGCACTGTAGTACCTACACACAGTGTGGGGAGGAGGGAGGGAGGAGGGAGGGAGGAGGGAGGGAGAGGGCGAAATGAGGAAAAGAAAAGTACTGTTTTGTCCTGCCGTCCTGCCACTACACTTGCATTGCTGTTCTTTGAATAGAGATTGTGTGAGTACACGACCATTGCTTTAGTGAGAGCATTGTCTCAGCCTATATACAACTGTGGTCCTAAAGCTAGCATAGTACTCTCAAATCTAATAGTGGACTGGAGCCCTAGCAAGTCAGCTAAATCACATGATCTGATATAGTCTCTGAGGATACTATACTATGCATGTGCAAAGTCAAGCTCTAAGAAGAATGTATGCTTGATGGGTCACATGATTCTCACATGACAGTGTTGATGCCTCCAAACTGTTGGAACATCTGTAGCCCACAGCCGACCACTAGTGCCAGACGCACCGAGCGGGTGGTGAATAGCTTTACTACCACCTGCCACCAGGCTGATTTAGAGGGGGGAAAGGAGGAGGGAGTAAGAGAAGAGAAAAAGGAGGGAATGAAGGATACTTGAATGGTAAAGTGACTCCTTTAACGTAATTGCAGGTTAAGGTCTGGTAGCTTGCACAGTTGCACTGCATTACATGCCAAATACAATGTAACTTTTAAGTCTAAGTTTCGTACCCAGTTTCTGTGCCTTGTACTCCTGATAGTCTTTAATGATCTCTTGCAATTCTTGTTCTGCCTGTTTCGGCTCTCTCAGCTAATGTGAAACGAGAGAAAAGAAACATAGAGGTGTAATAACCTTGAACGACCGACACATGCTATACATACGTGGTAGAGGCTCTTGCGAGCTCTTGGTATCTTCTCGTGGAAGACCAGCCATCGCGGAGTCTCGGGCATGAAGAGGAGACCACAGAACATAATGAGAGACGGAACTCCAGCCAGTCCCAACATCAACCTGGATCCACAACACAACGTGTGTGAGTGCAACATATCTTACTGTACATCACACTATATACATATGGAACAATATGGAGCTGCATTTGAGCCTTGCGGGCTTGCTGAACTGGCAAAATTTGCATGAGTGGTATAATAATACGGTAGAGTTGGGAAAAAATTTATTCGGGAATCTAAAATTTGGGCAGGTACATTTGCAAAACGTTTTATTCACTCAATTCATGTTAACGAAAGTTTTCTCCTTCCAAAGTTTCCCAGATTTCACAAACACTAAAAGGTCTACTGGAAAGCTACTTGCATCGATGGAGTTCCATGTACACATGTGTTTACTTCAGTGCAGACATGCCGCATACTAACCTCCATCCAACGTGCAGGGGGAGATAAGAGAAAGCCCCGTCAATCAACGTGGCAATAAACTGACCGCCAGTCACAAACGATATGTACACCACCACCAATTTCCCCCTCATCTCGGCAGGGGCGGACTCCGAGATGAACATTGGTACCGCCATGGCTGCTAGGCCCACTCCTACTCCCACCACAAACCTCCCTACCAGCAGCACCATCGGGGAAGGGGCTGCACTCATAACCACAGCTCCAATAGTGAATACAAACGAGGCCAGGAGGAGGATGGGTTTGCGGCCGAATAAATCCGAGAGAGGCCCAGCTAGAAGAGCCGCTATGGCCGCTCCAGCGATGGTCATGCTGACTATTAGTTCTTGGTAGACGGCGGTTAGGTTGAAGTCTTCGCGGATTTTGAGCATGGCTCCCGAGACGACGCCCGTGTCGTAGCCGAAGAGAAACCCGCCCAGCGCCGAGAAGAAGGTGAGAGCGAGGAGGAAGGCCAGTCGACGGCAGGGAGAGTAGGTCTGGGTGCCTGAGGAAGAGGTAGAGGAGGAGGGGAGGCGAAGGAGGTACTCTTTCTCGCTCTCCGAGCCAGACCCGGCGTCACGAGGATCTTCCTCCGGGTCTGCCATGTTAGTCTTCTTGTCCTGCACGCTCATGGTATCCAAGAGATCCTCATCTCATCCTCTGAAGACCGAAAGGAGATTGTCAACAAACTGCAAAAGGTCACGTGCTGAATCAGCAAATCTCTCGCTAATTCCAATAAGAGCGCACCTAACTGCGTCGCGCAAGGAGACGGTGTGGGCTGTCTGAGGCTCCAACGACTGGATTTTGTGGCTGCTGATGGCTAGCAAAGAGGTTCTCCCGCTCAACCAGCAACAGAGAGAGCGAGTTGACCCGCATACTGGCTGCAAAGACGTCGTTCCAGCTCTGGTAAGCAGACGAAACCTAGCTAAAGTAACCCATGATACCCTCCCCCAGGACCCGTCATGGTGTAAGGAGGTGGAGTTCCTCAGCTACGTCCCTCCTCCTCCTCCTGCGGGAGAGGGGGAGGACTCTGACCTCTCCGTCCTGTGGCTGGAGGCTCTGGAGCTGATGGACTCTGACCTCCGCTGGCTCCTCCTCCAGTCTCACCAGAGGTTCTGGTGTCAGGTGAGATGAGGGAGGAGGGAGAGAGGAGAGGGAGGAGTGGAGAAGAAAGTGCAATAGTGAAGTATAGGAATAGCATGCTGATTATTACTGTTCGAACCTGGAGACTGAAGATGGGTGTGTGGACCTTCTTCGTAACTTAATTGGATTACTTGTTCCTTCTCAATAGATGGTCTAGGGTTAAAAACTTTACTGAAATCATTTTCACAACAGTTATCTATGCTGCTGTTTTGTAAATAACTGACTTTCAATCCACTGAGCCGACCTCTCTCCCTCTCCTTCTCCCTCTCTCCCTGTTGCCAGGTGATCTATGACACTACCCTCCACAAGATGTTGGACTCCTACCTCCGCTACGGGCCACGCCCACACGAGGCCACGCCCCCAATAACACTGCGGGGTCGCGAGGTCATGGCCAGGGTCCACAGACGAGTCTTCATGACGTTCCTCCGCATGTCCACCCACAAGGAATCTCCCGTGAGCCTCTCTATTATATCTATCATACATCAGGTATCTTTCATGGGAGACAACTTTTGCGATCAGTGAAAGCAAACTGGGTGTTTCTTTCACTGATCGTTCATCATGCAATACAGCCACAGAATATTTTGCGGAGAAATTAGCAGCCAATTAAAAAACTACTACAAAACGCGCGAAATTTTCTCAAAAGTTCTTGGTATATACACCCCTTACATAAAACAATCGTCATGCCAGGATTGTGGTGTATAAACCCTCTCCATGTTGACACCAACAAAGTACACCTCAGCTCCATTACGGATATGAGGTCAGAAGATAGGAATTTCATGTTGTGCAGAGTCATTTCCTGTTGGAGGACTCGTTTGGTGACATCATCTACAACAACTTCCTGTTTGACATAACTCGTCTCCTGGACCTGTGCTCTCTCTACCACACCTCCAACCACGCCCTCCTCGCCAAGATGGTCGCCAACGTCTTCGCCAGGCAGCCGCGCTATCAGGACGACCTGAAGTCCGTCCTGAACAGTGTCCTGAACCTCCTGGATCAGGTCACAGAGGAGTGTCACGGGAGCAGAGGGGGAGAGAGAGGGAAGAAAGGAGAGGCCGTCAAGTTGAAAGATATCCATAGGTGCATATTATAATATTGCCATAGAGTCAGTCAGATGTGTCACACTGAAAGAACCTGGAGTTTACATGATCCTCTTTAGAGAATTAAATCACAATGCATTGGAATAAGGCCACGAGTATAAAGCATTGCTGAAAGCAGTATCATGAAATGTGAGTATTGAGCATTGATATCTGCAAGAAGGGGATTACTAATGCACAGATGGCGTGTCTTGTTCCAGGACCTTTGCCTGGTCCATCCTTCGTTGTATGTTCATCTCTACTGGTTCAGTTGACTTGGCAGTTCTCTCCCTCTCTCCCCGCAGACAGGGAGGGTCGGAGGTGACCGGTGTGGTGGGGTACGTGGGAGACATTGCATACTCCCTGAGACATTTCATGGACGTCTACTCTCCTTCTGTACCTCTGGCTGTCGAGGCTGGACTGCTGGACAGGTGTGTGACTGCCTCTGTCATGTGTGTGTGTGTGTGTCACTGGGAAACATATGTAGGAACGGGGGAGGTGGGCAGAGCAAGGGAGGTTTAAAAGCCCCAACCTTCTTCCCTGCTCTTGCTAAATAAACCAGAGAAGGGAGGATGAAGTGTTGTTGTGTTGTTGTGTTGTTGTGTTGTTCTCTGTAGGCTGGTGGTGTTCTATGGAGAGGCTGTTCCTCCTCTTCAGAAGCAGTGGCTGACACTCAAGAACAGGCTTGACTCTCGCAAGTCAGTCATGTAGCTGTGTCTGTGACACAACACTCACATTACAGTTGACCACGAAACTTATAGTAACTGATTTGAGAGCCGTGGATTGACATATTTATGCACACTTTTTCTCCCATTTCCCCAAAAGAATACAGCTTCTAGGCATTATATATAGTAGGTAACCAAATAAGAAGCTTTTCTCTGCCTCCTAACCAGAGCCACAGAGGGGAAGAGGCAGCTGAGACAGGCCAAGAGAGACCTCGGCTGGCTGGTCTACACCATGATCAGAGCCACACCCAACTCCGGAGAGGGAGGGGCAGTGGGCGTGGCCAGATTCCTGGAGACCATGTCATCCATTATCTCGGAGCCTATGTACATATATATGTCCACTAGAATAATCAACATGTGTGCCTCTCATTCTTTGCTACTCTATACCCTTCGCCTTTCTCTCTATCTCGTTCTCATGTAGTTCAACTGTATGTAAGGTATATACACCTGAACCCTTGTCTTATAATCCACACAACAGTAAAATCTCGAGGTGATGTTCATGTATGTACTGTGTGCTGTATACACAGGCTATTGAGAGAGCTCCAGAGACAGTTCAGTCTTATTGACACCGTGAGAGAGATCCAGACACTCCACCCTAACTTGTATCCCTCATCTCTCCCCCACTTCCCTTTATCTCTCTTCTCTCTGTATCTTTCTGCTTTTCCTCCACCATCATTTGTTCCTTCTCTCCCCTCTCTCCCCTCTCTCCATCCTTCTCTTCTCTCCACACACTAAAGTGTACAACCACGTTCTCCTTGACAGTTCCGCTGTCTCCCAGTGACCAGACACAGTTTGATTACCTGCTGTCAGCTCTCGGTGCAGACCCTGCCACTGATGCAGCTGCCTCACTAACGACCTGTGTGATGACGGGGGCAGCCCCCGGAGACGAGGAGAGCCGTGTTCTCCGTGTCCAGGAGCTCCTACCACACCTCACCAGACCTTTCATCATGGTGGGTTAGTATGTTTCTCTAGCAGAGCTACACGTGTTTTCTACATGCTTATGGTCACTATACGTAAGGTGCATATGTTAGTTTTGGGCATTCTGGTGGTATGCAATCTTGCATTTCGAGAAGATCCTAATGCACCTGTATGGATGTGTTCTTACTCATCTTGGTTTGCCTGAATGTTGTACCAAGTACAGATTTCTTCACGCTTTGAAGCGGAAAAAATCAACAATGTGTTGGCAGTATTCTCCCAAGTAGTCCGTGTTGTGAAGTACATAGGACTACGTATATTGTCTTGATACGTTATGCATTGCAATTGTTTGCCATAATGTATGCTCCCTAATACTACACGCAGCACTGCCTGAAAGAGTATGGGTATGATAGTGAGGCTGTCATCCATCACGTTCTTGAAGACAACCTCCCTTCTCACCTCAGGCGAGTCCTCTCTCTCTCTCTCTCCTTCATACCCAATTTCCTATGCCTACCCTTTATCTATTAGTGCTGGGATACTTTGTACACGTGTAGCATAGAAATAGCCCTGGGTTTGGTGCAAATACTTGCCCTATAGACTTGCTAGCACTGACTCAGCAGTAGGGTGTTAGTGTTGTGCAGCACTTGTTCACTGTTACTGATCTGAGTGCTGTCTTATTCAAACCACGCACAGGAGACTAATGTTGGATGACAGCAGAGACGGAGAGAGGGAAGGAGAAGGAGGGAGAGAAGGAAGAGGAGAAGGAGGGAGAGAAGGAGGAGGAGGAGGAGGAGGAGGAGGAGGAGGGAGAGAAGGAGGAGGGTTGGTAGACCAACGAGCCAGTGTCTATGATGGCGATGAATTTGATGTGTTCAGAAGACACAGAGACATTGACCTGTCCCAGGTCCACATTGGAAAGAGGTGCAACAATAAAAACATATGTACGTAGGGATATAATGTGTATGCAGCTGTTTTGTAGCAAAAACACTGTAAAACATTATCTGAAAAAAGGACTAATAAAGAACACCCCATTCTAATGTACCATGCGAGCTTTTTACAAAATCTCCTAGCACAATTAATATTCTGTGATTTGTGTGTAGGTCAGTGACGAGAGGTGACACACTCGAGGACAGGTCTCATCTGGAGACCACCAGAGAGAGATACCAGGCCTACCAGTATGAGATGCCCTCCAGCGAGGACGAGGAGGGAGAGGGAGAGGTATGTAACTATTGACATCTGTACGTCACATTAGTGCACAGTATGTACAGTACATACATACATAGCTAACATTGCATGCTTCTAATAGTTTTTCAGTGAAACGTCTGAATAAGGGACACCATTAAACATTGAGTGTGTCCTTTATTCAGTGGTGTCCGTTACACTAAAGTACAATATCAGCACCAAGTGTAATAGTGAGGTGTCCTGTATTCACAGGGTCAACAGTGGCAGAGTGGATATTGTATATACCACCTTTGTCTCTCCCTCTTCTCATTACCCACTCTCCTCTCCTACTTCCTCTCATCCACAGCTCCTCTCAGATCACGCGGATAGACAGAAAACGCGCCGCGCACTGCGACTCCAGAGAGCGAAGGACACCACGAGCGACGCTCCAGCGCACGCGGAGCCTAGACAAACGCGCCGCGCCGAGCACGCGGCGCAGGACCAACTCTAAGCGCTAGTAGAACAGCCTCGCGATGCAGGATCACGAGCCCGCCAGCGGCCACGCGGCGCAGATCACTGCTCCTCGCCCTGCTCCTGTCTCGCTTACCACTCTCCTCTCCCTCTCTCATTACCCACTCTCCTCTCCCTCTCCCTCTTCTCACTACCCACTCTCCTCTCCTCTCCCTCTTCTCATTACCCACTCTCCTCTCCCTCTCCCTCTAGTGGCAGTATGTGTTTGACCAGTACCAGGATGAGTATGACGACACTTATGACTCTCATAATGTCGGAGCAGCTGACAGTAAGACCGCTGAGGACCTCTTCACTGTCAAGAGGTATATATACACACACATTCTCTCTTGAATGTTCTATTGTAACTCTACTGATTATCGGTATCGCGTGTGCGCAGTTCGCCGAGGGTTTGCACTTCAGTGCAAGTGTAGGTGGGTGGTTGTAGTACTCACATATTACTACCTTGGCTCTCTTTCTTCAGACTGAATGTGAAGGGACTATTCAAGAAGCAGGTTGAAGTGGCGGTAGAAGATGAAGAGGAGGAGGAGGAGGAGGGGGGAGAGGAACAGAGGGTCACACCTACTGGTACCTGGTCATGTGACAATCATGAGACGAGGACACCATCTGGACAAAGTGTCTCAACAGGTGAACAATGTGCTTTTGCGGCATGTTTGTATAGATCCAACGCATACAAATCATTTTGTCTAATGACTTTTTTCCCACTTTTGATTCTCAGGTGGAGAGAGGGGAAAGAGGAGGGAGAGGAGGGAGAGGGGGAGCGAGGGGGAGGGGAGAGGGAAGAGAGAAGGTCTCCAGGGACAGACAAATGAAGGAGAAACACAAGGGCAGGGTGGCCAACCACAGCCGCAGGGCTCTCGCCGACCGAAAGAGAGCTGGGAGAGGGTTTGGTGGACCGCCCAGACAGTGACATTTCTTCCTTGATCACTCCATCGTCGTTTTTGTTCAAATATACGCATGTGCGTATGTTTTCACTTTATTACGCGCAGTGTGGAATGACGTCATACATTTCGCCCACGCGCAAAGCGCATTTTCGATCTAACGGTCACAAAACAGAGGACAGCCCGACTACTCGCCGCTGTTTCCCCTCGGTCCAGCAGCATACCTGCAGCAGACTTGACGCTACTGGTACAACATTGAAAGACGTGACCGGCAATTCTCGCGCCCATTGAACCCGCTGACTGCAAGGAGAGAGAGAAAGACAGCTCGAGCAGCAGGCGCAAGGTCCAAGATATGGCGACAACAGCAGTTGACAAGCCGAACCACGTAGCCGGCCTTCCCGCCGCGTGAGTCCTCTCTTCCCGTGTTGTTGTGTGAGTCATTCGTGCGGAGTGTTGCTGCGTGTCATGTCTACGACTGACAGCTGCGGAAAAGATCCGCAGCGGGACGTGAATTTCGCGAGACATGTATTCATACACCGCCATCTTTCCTTTGTGTGTGTGTTTGTGCAGGTCGGACTGGAAGACACAGCTAAAACGGCCAGCCAAGGACACTCGCATCAGGACAGAGGTGTGTTGCCGCAGATGCAAGCCTGTGTAGCGTTGGTGGGCATTATTTAGAACCGCCCCACCCTCCGCGCATTGTTGTCGGATAACCAGGTGTTTGTGGCCAGCGGAGACCCTTATTTGGTCACACGGTAGCACAATATGAGGCCACACAGTCCCTCTTCCCTCACTCTTCTTTCTCTTCTCCATTCCCTCTGCCTCTCCCCCTCCCTCTGCCTCTCCCAGGACGTCACACGAACCAAGGGCAATGAATTCGAGGACTACTGCCTCAAGAGAGAGCTCCTAATGGGGATATTTGAGGTGGGGTATGACGCCCCGTCCCCTATTCAGGAGGAGAGCATCCCAATTGCTCTAGCGGGACGAGACCTCCTGGCCCGGGCCAAAAACGGGACTGGCAAGACGGGAGCCTTCCTCATCCCACTCCTGGAGAAGACTGACACTGACCTCTCGCATGTACAAGGTTAGAATTTTTGGATCATTGTTACACACTTGAAATGAAAGTTTATTGGAAACAAGAACTTTTTGCTGAGGTTCACCTCCCCAGTAAAGTTTGTGGGGAAGGCCTCTGCTAAATGTGCTTCCTAACTTGTGACTTTTTGGCCATCATAATGCTTGTACTCTCCCCCCTCCCCTCCCCTCCTCCTCCCTCCAGCCATCATAGTAGAGCCAACCAGGGAACTGGCTCTGCAGACGTCCCAACTGTGCAAGGACATTGGGAAACACATGTGCACTCGCGTAATGGTCACCACTGGCGGTACCAGCCTCAAGGATGACATTATGAGACTCGACGAGGCCGGTCAGCTCCCTGCTTACTTCTCTCTTATTTTGCCTTCCTTTTGTTTTCCCTCTCTCTCTATGCTTTATCGTTTCCCTCTATAATCTGTTTTACTTACCACCAAGTCTCTCTTTTTTTCAATTTTAGCTCTATGAATTGTATGGCTAAGTAGTTGTGCATGTGTGTTAAACATGGGAGGTATGTATATATACAGGATAGCGTATAGATTCACTGTTTTAGTGTTACCTGACCTGGTGGGTACGTATGCTTGTGTTACGGACACCATGTTGTACATGTAGTGTACATGTAGTGTACATGTAGTGTACATGCCAGGAACAAAGGATGTGATGTAACCTGTGGGTAATCCTAGTGGCTCACCCTGTGCCAACAGAGAGAGGTCTATTGGAGGGGTGCTCACTACATATGTAGTACTGTGGAACCTGTCTCTAAGGACGCTCCTGACATGCGGACACACATCCCTAATAAGAACATCTTATATTCCCCCCCAGGAACTGCTGTCACATATGATTTAACCCCTCAAATAAGGACACCTAAGTAATAATTGAGCAAGTGCGTGTACAGTCTTATTGTTTTACAAACCAACCATAAGTTGTCCTATTGCGCATCCGTTGATATTAAGTGCAGTCTTTTTATATGAGCGGAAATTCCCCCCTTCCATCCCGTCATGTAACATCTGTGTATATAGCTATAATTAAACTGTCCTAGCTCTGATGCTATGGTGTTAGAAGAAGGGGAGGGAGAAAGAGGTGTTTTTTGCAGCTCTGTATTCTTGAGGTTTTGTGCAAGACAAACTCTCCTAGGGCTAGACCTAATGTGGAAGTGTTGCAGATCTTATCAGAGACCACAGCACTTATCCTGCAACCCTCCCCTCCTTCCCAGCAAAATCAAACCTCACCTCCCCCTCCTTCTCCCTCCCTCTCCCTCCCTCTCCCTCTCCCTCCCTCTCCAGTCCATGTGATAGTGGCCACCCCAGGCAGGCTGCTGGACCTGCTAGAGAAAGGCATTGCCAATGCCAGTCAGTGCCAGATGCTTGTTCTCGACGAGGCTGACAAACTCCTCTCCATGGACTACCAGAGAGCTCTGGACAAGCTCATCGCCTTCATGCCCAGCGACAGGCAAATCCTCCTCTTCTCCGCCACCTTCCCCAACCACATCAAGGGCTTCACTGTGAGCTCGTCCACCTCCTCTCTCTCTCTCCCTCCTCTTTTTCTTCTCTTCTCCTCTCCTCTTTCCTCTTTTTCTCTTATATACTCTCTTCCACTCTCTCACCCTCTTTATATTCCTCTGTACCTCTCTCTCTTTTTTCCTTTTCTCGTCTCTCTCCCACCATTATCTTTGCCTCTCAGTTTCCTCCTTACCTCTTTCTCATTAGTGGTAGACACTTGTGTGCTCTGTGCTATATACACAGAAATCCTTATTCGAATTGAGTGTCACATGATGAGGTAAAGTGACTAGAAACAGAACCCTGAAAAGGATAGCCAGCTCGGTGGTGTATACCCTGTAACAGGCGGTGTATACAAACCATACGCACCACGTGCAATGTGCAACAGACACACAATTTCCATGTACAGCGACAGCATGTGACTCCAGAGCTAGCTCCAGAGGACAATCAGCCCCCTAGCAACAAATACGGATGGCATATACCAATAACAGCATGCCTACTATTTTGGGTCACAGTGTCCCATCCAAGATTTATTCAGGGGACAAATGAAGAGCTAGATGGACTGTGTCCCCTTGGTACGCTCTGGTGCCAGCCTTGTTGATCGTTTCGTTTCCTCTCCCTCCCTTCCCGCTCCCCCCTCCCTCTGTATATAGGACCGACACCTCCGCTCCCCCTACACCATCAACCTGATGGACGAGCTGACTCTGAAAGGAGTCACTCAGTACTACGCCTACGTGGAGGAGAGACAGAAGGTCCACTGTCTCAACACACTCTTCTCCAAGGTCTCCGCTCTCTCTCTCTCTCTCTCTCCTCCTTTCTAATGTGTGACTGTTAAAAAACTATTGCAAATCGTGTAAAAATCACGAATAAGTTGAGTGCCATCGATCGGGTGTGCTGAAGCCATAGTGTGCTGAAGCCAAAGTGTTCAAGTTTCACATATTATGGTGTCGTTTTGAGCATACAGCTTACCGACCCACAAGCCCACAAGTGTTCTCATTTAGATGTTTCCAGATATGCAATAACTTCCCCCTCCCTCCACCCACCCTCCCTCCTCGTCCCCCAGCTCCAGATCAACCAGAGTATCATCTTCTGCAACTCTGTGCAGCGAGTGGAGCTGCTGGCAAAAAAGATCACCCAACTGGGCTACTCTTGTTTCTTCATCCACTCACGGATGGCCCAGTCGCACCGCAACAAAGTCTTCCATGACTTCAGGAACGGGGAATGTCGTAACCTCGTCTGCACAGGTCCGCCTCTCTCTCTCTCTCTCTCTTACCTAGTTGTGGTGTATTGGGTAGGGGTTGGGTTGTGTACTGTTTGACATAGCCTGTTCAAACTGATAGAGCACTCTCCTAGAAAGCAGAGTGCCGTGGGTTCGAATCCACCCAGGACAGCTCTTCATAGCTGTCCTGGGTGTAGTTTGCCTTGCCTTGCCTTGCCTTTCTACCTCGTTACCTTGTTATTGACACATGCAAAATTTCATATTGTACATAATATACAGTATAATGTGACAAGAACAGTTTAAACTTGTAGATGAACTAAGGTACACTCCCCCCCTCTCTCCCACTAGACCTGCTGACGCGAGGTATCGACATCCAGGCGGTGAACGTCGTCATCAACTTTGACTTCCCCAAGACCTCCGAGACCTATCTCCATCGCATCGGCCGCTCCGGGCGTTTCGGTCACCTCGGGCTCGCCATCAACCTCATCACCCACGACGACCGCTACAACCTCTTTGGCGTGGAGAAGGAACTGAAGACGGAGATCAAACCGGTGCCAAAGGTCATCGACAAGCGTCTCTACGTTGCCGAATTCCAGACAGAAATCTTGTCCGGCGGGACCGAGTGCTCGGAGTCCGGGGTCTCGCCAACTGCCGCCGCACACCCACAGAGCTAGGCGCAGGTCCGCGCCACCCCTGGAACATTCTGTCTTTCTTCTGCTCCTAGAACACTCAGCCAAGCTCTGACCTCCTTGCCCCACCCATCCCTCATCAGTAATCTACTAATGTAAAGTATCCTCTCTCTGTGATTTCTAGTCTCCACTGTATGTTCCAGGGCCGTCTCTCTCTGTGTGTGTACGACTTAGTATCTATATGTGCGTATGTGTGTCTGTATGTCTATGTATGTATGTATGTGTTGTGTGTGATGTGCCGTTTAAATCCCTCTCTTTAAAATTTAATTTTCCTGTGGGTGCGTTTTGTATCGCCCTCTTTCAAATCTCTATAATACTGTCACCTCGCCTCTCTCTTCTCTATCTCTATTTACTGCCCGCTCTTCAATGTCTCTCTTTCTACATCTTCGCCGCTCCACACTATATTACTACCTCCTCTCCTCTCACTTCTTTTTCCCCTTCCTCCCTCCTCTTCCCATTCCTAAAGACAATCTTTTCCAATTTCCCTCTCTGTCTTCATTTCTCCCGACACCTCGAGAGCTAAGCAGTGTACTGTTGTGTCCACTACCATCTCACCATCCCAACCCAGTGATTGTAGTATAACTCCATCCCTACCACTCATTGGAGCCCCAGATGCCATCTAGGTCTGCCATCTCCATTCAGCCTCAGTCATCACTGGACACAGAGTATCACTCCTCACCTTACCACCAACACCAATAGAGGGAAGTGGTCTCCAACCAAACCCTCTCATCCTACTGAATCCAGCTCTCTCGACGCTAAACTTTGACTGAACGACGACAAACAGCAACGACACTGTGTATATACTACTATGCAAGCCCCCTTTCCCCTCCCTCCCTCCTTTTCCACCGTCTCCGATTGATCTACAAATGAGAGGGTTGTCCTCATGTGATCCTCATGTGATCATCTGTCGCTCTCTGCGACCGAATCCTCAACACAGTGTCGAATTATTCCACGACAGACGAACTATACAGAGACGAAAAAAATCTTCATATGGCTGGATGGAACAATATTGTCAAAACCACCACCAGGTGTGGTTGCCATGCCAACCTACCATGGCAACCAGTTCATCACACACAACGATGTCATCGTGACATCGCCAACAAAGAGAAAATGAAACGAGATGAAGTACGAGTTATTGGGACACGTCAGTCCAAGAATTTGAGATTCGAACAAATTGAACAAGAAACATGTTTTATGTATGGATAATTGCTTTTTTTCACAGGAGAGCATTTGTCTCTCTGTAGGCTAGGCCCGAACACAAGATTATGGAAATGTATGAAAAATGAGTTTCAAGACTCAACGAAGTTGAGGCAATGGTTGCGTTGCTCTGCGCGCATGCTGTGAAGATAATGTATATACCAGTGTTGGGTCCAAATGTAATGTAATTTGGATTGTTTTGCAGTGGAATGTACATGTGTATGTGCTTGGGAGTAGACATCTATCAACAGTAGACAGTCAACACTGAATGTTGGTATCTATCATGTCGTTAATATTGCAGAATAATGAGAGGTTGTGCATGTGTATGTTTCTGTGTGTGCGTAAGTGTGACGTCAGGTCATCAGCGTAGTTCCAGTCCAGGAACCTGGGAAACCAACCTCTCTCTTACTCTCAGTTGCAATTCTCTAGTCTGAGTCCACGACAGGGCCTCTCCCGGACTACTGTACTCCACACGATAACACATGCTAACCCTCTCTTCACCGCCTTCCTCCCCTCTTCCTTCTCTTCTCTCTTCCCTGTAAGTCTCAAGGTGTGCCACTCTGACGGCCTTCCTGCCTGCCACAGTTCTTACCGCTCGCCACACCTCAATCTTCTCCCTCCCACCACGCCCAGCATCTGGAGGGACCCAGAAACTTATGTCATGGGTGTAACACGGAGCAAACAGGCTAAATGGCTTGAAAACCACTTTCTCTGCGTCGTGTTTTCTGTTAAATTGCTCTGTGAATCGTCTGTCGCTACACCAGAGGAGAGATACGTGAGATATACCGCAGACAGCCATGGCCAGTGTGTCCAGATTGACACTAAAGGTCAAAAAGTGCGCTGGAAACTCCTCCCACTTCCGGTGCGTGAGAGACTGAAATGTTGCGAGTGTTGCATTCTCTCCTCCAGCTAGAATGATGTTCACGTCTTCAGCAGATGGTGTCCATATGGACTGCAGTGTAGCGGGACCAGACATTAATGTCAACGTAGGATCAGATATTAGTGACTTTAGAGCCAGAACCACGCTGTGTCTGAGGGAGAGGAAATGACTGCGAGACTGGCTCGAGGACGGCAGAGACAATACACCGCAGAGACAATGGGAAATGGGTTGGAGAGAGGGGTTAGGGGAAATTACTGTTTCCCTGACTAGAGGTGATGTTACCGTGTGTAACCCTGCTCGGCCAGTGGCGCTTCTGATAGAGTTTAGTAGAGAAGGCAGCAGTTGAGAGGGGGAGGATTGAAGAATGAAAACGTCTTCCTGATTTGTAGAACCACTTCCAGCTAAGGTTGTATCGCCTCCATTCCTCCCACTGGCCTGCCAGCATACATCACCCTCAGACACGCCGGGACAGCACGCAGAGGGGGCACGGTGTACCCCTGATCCCCTCAGAACCTCACTCTCAACTCTACTCCACACCCCCTGCCCTGCCTGCAGCTGAAGAGCTCCCACCAACAGCCGGTGTACTCGAGTCACCGGATGCCAGGGAAAAACGAGCAACGATCGAAGGACCAACCCCCTCTCTCTCATCTGTCGTCCGACCTCTATACCAGTGTCTTGATTAGTCCCACAACAAAACCGGCAGATATCACACACTCTGTCGTCCACCACCTCCCACGATGCGTGATCAGGCTGAGGTAAAGTAAGCACATGTTCCAGGGCACCTTGCAATGAAAACCCCCTCCCTCCACTTCGGTACCCAGCTAGGCTCATACCCAAGGTGGGCTATGGGATCGAATTGCTGAACATCAGTCAATAGTAAACCAGCCTCAGCTGCCATTTCCACAACCCTCCACGAGTTGTGGTGGCCTCGTTTGTCGGAATCAGCTGGAGTCCCTCCCTGCCCCTTGCATAATGTTACACAAACCCTCCCGCGAGGTGACAGTATTTTGGCTGCAGAGGTAAAGAAGTCGCGGAGGAGCTGACGGTTGCGTTTGATGTTGCTCTTCCCTCCAGTGTGCGGGAAGTTAAATATGACGGTGGTGTACTGAGCACTGAGCTCTTGTAGCTGGGGGTATGTGTGCAGTTTGGTCCCGTCCACGCCGTGTAGAACGTGCACGCCGAGTTTACGGAGCTCTCTCACGTTTTCCTGTGCCGTTGGACGCTTAGCAATCTGTTCCTCTGTTTCATAAGACGTCGACACAATATTTTCTTCACGTCCTCTTCTCGCTAGGCATAAAGAGAATGAGAAATTACCCTCTCCCACTAACAAAGTCGCCATGTAGAAACACTCTATATGGAGCGCACCAACGAGCCCCGCCTCTCTTTTCCCAGCGCACCCTCATTGCGTTACGCTACGTATGCGTTATGCAACGTCATGGACACAAAGAGGACTGACGGGTAGTGAGTCAGAAACGCCATAAAGAAGAAAGGAGAGATGGCTGCTGCGCTAGCTCTCCCCCAGCACTGCCGAAAGCTGGTCGGTGTGTCACTGGGTACTGTATTTCGAGAGGTAGTCCAGCTGCAAACGGTCCCTATGCCGCGAGCCGGATCCCGCGAACTCTTGGTCCGGACTAGCTACGCCGGGATCAACGCCTCGGATATCAACTGGACGGCGGGTCGCTACCTCCCTGGACTCCAGCCGCCGTTCGACACTGGATTCGAAGGTCTGGGGAAAGTGGTGGAGGTGGGGAAGGATTGCAAGGGGTTCCAGACTGGAGACTCCGTTCTCTTCATGCACGCGGGGTCGTTTAGCGAATACCTCACTCTCCCCTACCGTAAAGCGACGCTGCTCCCTCGGCTGGACCCCGCATATCTCTCTCTCCTGGTCAGCGGTTGCACGGCCTCAATTGCTCTGGAGAAGGTCGGGGAGATCAAGAAAGGGGACAAGGTTCTGGTTACTGCAGCTGCGGAGGCACCGGGCAGTTTGCAGTTCAGCTGGCAAAACTAGCTGGATGTCACGTCATCGGGACTTGTTCCACAGACGAGAAGGCGGACTTTCTTCGAGGACTCGGCTGCGATCGACCAATCAACTACAAGAAAGAGAACCTGAAGAGTGTCCTCAGGGAAGAATATCCTCGTGGAGTCGACGTTATGTATGAGGGGATCGGCGGGGAGATCTTCAACACCTGCGTCAAAAATCTCGCCACGAAGGGAAAACTCGTGGTAATCGGTTTCATCGAGAGCTACAAGAGCTCCAACTTCTCCACCAGACCCACTCTCCCCCTGCACCAGATACTCCTCTCCAAATCGGCCAGTATTAGAGGGTTCTTCCTCAATGATTACGTCGCCGACCTCCCCTCTCATATCTCCCGGCTCTGCCAGCTGTATGAGCAGGGGCAGTTGAAGGCACTGGTTGATGTGGGGGAGGGGGCTCCTGGTGGCCCATTCAGAGGACTTGAGAGTGTGTATGATGCAGTGGACCATCTCTTCAGTGGATGCAATAGAGGGAAAGTGGTGGTGGAGATTTCTCCTCCTCAGGCCACCCCTGAGTCCGCTACTAGAGCGAAACTGTAGCGTTTATCCACGTATATTTGTAGCGCGCAACTCGCGCACGCACGCACGTGAGGTTTATCGTAATGCGCATGCGTGTACCCACGTGGGGTGGAGCCGACTGGAATGAGAATGGCAGAAGCTGCGGTGTCTAGCGAAGGCTCTGCAGCAGCTCCAGAGGCCAGTTCAGAGCAGTTAGTAACGCCAATGAGCGAGAGACCTACCTGTATCATCTGCCTCGGAATGGCCGGCTCGGGGAAAACGACGTTCGTTCAGGTACAAATCAAACCGTGAGAGCTAATAAATTTAGCCACACCGTGTGTATTTATTCAGAGGCTCACAGCTCACCTCCATGCATTGAAGAAGCCTCCATACGTTGTGAACCTTGACCCTGCCGTGTCCAGCGTGCCTTACCCTGTCAACATTGGTAAGTAAATGGAAGAAATTCATGAGTGGATTGAGGGTCATCCCCATATGCTTTCTGTCAAACAATCTGGTAAGGTTTCCCTAAAAGATTTTTGGCTACTGAATTGTTTTCCCTTCAATGTCTCCTACTTGGTAGAGGTATATACACATTACCCTGAGGTTATTATCTTGCTCATGAATTATTCATCAGACATCAGGGACACGGTGAACTACAAGGAGGTGATGAAGCAGTATGGACTGGGACCAAACGGAGGGATCGTGACCTCGCTAAACCTGTTCTCGACCCGGTTTGACCAGGTCCTGACCTTCATTGAGAAGAAGGGCAGCCAGTGCCAGTGAGCTGTTAAACATTGATGCTCCGGAACAGTAACAGTATTCCCACCCTCCGCATTGAAATTTGCTAAATTATCTCATGTGACGATAGGCAGAACTCAAATGGACAAGTGTTGCACTATTTATCATTCTCAAAGCAAATGCCCACCTAATGCAAGATGTTAATGTATGGGACTAGGTTTAATATGTACGACGTGTATATGCATTGCATGTGTAATTGTTAGTCTCTCTCTCCATTTGCTGCTGTAGGTATGTGTTGTTTGACACTCCAGGTCAGATAGAGGTGTTCTCTTGGTCAGCTTCTGGCTCCATCATCACCGACACACTGGTTGGTGGAGCATCTACTCCTTTCTCTCTCTCTCTCCCCCCTTTTTACTGAGGTTCACAATATGTCACACACGTCGCGAAGATAGAAATAGATCCTATCCTCGCGGCACTGCGTGATAGGGGCAATGCAACGTATTGTGAACCCAGCCTTACTCCCTTACCTTTTCTCACCTTCTTCCACCCCTCCCCTCCCCTTCCTCTCTCGCCCTGCAGGCCTCCTCATTCCCTACTGTGATTGTGTATGTCATGGACGTAGTTCGCAGTGTGAATCCAGTCTCCTTCATGTCCAACATGCTCTATGCATGCAGGTATAATACAGACATCTTACTCCCCATCACACACAGTCTTTTCTCCACACGATTCTTGTTCAAGTAGGGGACACTAGGATCAATGTTTCAAGTATGTGTCTTCCACCGAACACGTTTGCATATATATTTTACGTTCATGTTTGACGTGTCTTACACTCCACTCGTACGTCACTGGTGCTCGCTGTGGGTCTCCCCATGCAGTATTCTCTACAAGGCAAAGCTGCCGTTTGTCGTAGCTCTCAACAAGATCGATGTGGTGGATGCCGCGTATGTTGTGGAATGGATGAACGACTTTGAGGCTTTTCAGGAGGCCTTGGAGCAGGTGAGGCTGTCATTACAACTATCAAAGGTGGGCATGTATTGGAGGAATTTTGTTTGGCTGTTACCCAGGAGACGTCGTATGCCTCTAACCTGACTCGCTCCATGAGTCTGGTCCTGGACGAGTTCTACAAGAACCTCCGAGTGAGCTTCCACCTCTCTCTCTCTCTCTGTGCAATGCAATGTGCGGTATAAGTTCCACGTAGTGCATTCACACTTTGCATCCTGCTATAAACCTTCTCAGAGTGTTGGTGTGTCAGGACTGGTAGGACTTGGAGTGGCGGAAATCTTTGCTGCCATTGACGAGGCCAGGACTGAGTACATGCAGTGAGCCTCTCCTTCTTCCCCCTCTCTCCTAGTATACCTCTCCCACCTCCCCCACCCCCCAATGTGCAGGGACTATTACCCTGAGCTGCAGCGGCTGAAGAAAAAGAAGGTATGGATGGAAACGGCGTTTCTCAATCTCGTGATGGCAGTTACACCACTCGCAAAAAAACACATACAACTCAAGTTTTGAGCCATTGGGTGATTCACATTTCATGAGGAATGTGGAAGTACATAAGGACTACGTACATGTTACTAAAGATGGAACAATGGGCTCAGTGAAAGAATGCTTCCATTTTTAGTAACAGTTTCTATATTTAGCCCTTACACTTTCACATACCCTGACAGCTGTGTGTAGCCAGACTTCTCTCTCCACAGGAGGCGGAGGAGAGACAAAGGCAGGAGGCGGAGCTAGCGAGACTGCTCCGGGACAGGGCAGAGGGGGAGGAGGTGCCCCTCGCGACCTCCACAGAGAGGACACGGAGTTCACGGGGTCAGGGGGTGGAGCTTCGTCTCCACGGGGACGAAGATAGTGAAGATTCGGACGACGAGGGTGGTGTGGGGGAGAGGATGGAGGGAGAGAATGAATCTACCTCGTTTCAAAACTTTCTCAAACATCAGGATAAGAGAGACACCACATAGTAACCAATGGTCATTTGTATTACTTTGCTCACTATGTATGCCTATATAACACACCCCATACTGTACAAGCAAGACAATGAATCGTACTACACAAATCACTCCTCATGCATTCAGTTGCTCACATCACATGTGCTATCTTGTCTGCAACAAATGTCCTCATAACTGGCCCAAAAGCCAATTTCACAAATTTCCATAAATTATAAATTTACACACTTAATGTATACCTGTGCAGAGTGACGCAAAAAAATGCTGTAACAGCATGACGTGGTGAGAATGATTTTGTGCGACTAACAGTGTATGTTTGAACACAGTGTGAAATGCCAAAACTAAGAAGTTCCACTCTGGGTCTCTCCACTGGTCTCCTCTGCCCCCTTCCCCTGCGGCTCCTCTTTTTCCTCCTCTGAGTCGTGCGGCACGTCATGTGACTCCTCGATGACATCATCAACATCACTGAGAAACTCTTTTTCCTCCTCTGAGTCGTGCGGCACGTCATGTGACTCCTCAATGACATCATCAACATCACTGAGAAACTCATTGAGGGAGGCAGTCCCGTCCGTATCCTCAATCAACACATCCTCCAACTGGACAGTCCCGATAGGTGCCCGGATTGATCGGTCGACGGATCCCGTTTTCCGATAGTCGGCCAACTGCTGTTGGAACATGTCGCCAAATGTCTTTTGCCGCTCAGCTGCCTTCTCCGTCTCGATCTGGCTCTCCACCCCGTCCTTTAACCTCTTCTCCTCTGCCAGAGTGTCCTTCAGTCGCTGCAGCTCCCTCTCCGCCCTCCCTCTCTGTCGCTCATGCTGAATCTTGAGCGACTCTCTCTTCCTCACGGCCTCGAGCTTGGCGCGAACCCGGGCGTACTCGGCGATACTCTCCTCCACCTTCTCCAGCAGTTGTCCCAACTCCCGGACCTTCTCTCGCGACGTCTCGACGGCCTTCACCACCTCGGGGAGCTGTTTCAGCTCCTTGCAGCAGTCGGAGATGATGGTGTGGGTGTACTGGATCCCTCTGTGCATCTCGCGCAGGTCGCCGTCGAGGGTGACAGACACCCGCGAAGCCTCCTCTGTCCTGCGGTGTACGAGACTCCATTCCTCTTTGAATTTCGAGAGGAGTTCGCCGCCCACGTCCAAGTTGACCGCCTGGTGGACGAGGAGAGACGACGGCATATTTGGTTCCTTGGGAGACCCCGAGGGCATCTTCTCTCTCGCTGCCTCTATCATCCCTACGAAATCCTGTTTCAGTTCGCGGGAGTTCTCGGTGAAGTCTTTGACGGCCGACGTCCAGAGTTCTTTCATTCCGACGACCATTTTCTTGGTGGCAGCTGCCCCGCGAGACTTGCCCGTGGTGGTTGGGGAGGACCCTGCCATGGCAGCTAATACAGTTTGGAAAGAGGGGGGGAGGGGGGTGTGGAGGTAAGGAGTGAAGTAACTGGTAGTTCAAGTATGCAGCTATGGTAATGTACAGCGGGATAAGTAAATGCGGTGGGGGAGTATAAGCTGTGAACAGTTATTCTCTTTGACATGCATGTACCGGGTGTAAACTAGACCCGTGGCATGCACCGTGCCCCACAGTATAAACTCACGCGATTCTTCGAGAAGACCGCTACGAGAGACAGGGAGAGGAGAAGTCGCCGTTCCACTGCTGTGTGCCGGTGTCCGTGTGTGAGACGCGGAGAGCCTTGGGTGTCTTGTGACCTTTCTGCAACCAACCAAGGTTCAAAGTGCAGAAAATCTAGCACCCGCACCCACGTGTGCGTGGTCATGTATGATGCCTGCAGCTTCGCTTTTCTCCTGTCTCCTTGCTAACAACGTGAGCTGTTCGTGACGAGGGGAGAGCTCTACGCATCAGAGGAGGTCAGAGGAGAGATGGAGTCGCCCACTCCTCCACCGCCTGCAGCAGAGGCCGGACAACCACAAGGCAGGAATGGCGGAGGGAACAGCAGCTGCAAGCCCCTCTGGGTGGACGCAGAGCTCTCCGTATACGTGGGGAACCTGGACCCGGATACCTCCGTGGAGGACATGGAGGAGCTCCTCTATGAGCTCTTTCTACAGGTCAGAAATACGAACACAATTTTTGTGTGATAGCAGGTCTATATAGTAACATTAATTTTGGAAACAATCTGAGTATATACTAGTTTGACATTGTTGGCGAGCGGGAGCGATCCAACTTGGGATTTGCCCGCGATGTTCGGGCTTCAATGTGCCGTCAGCGCACAGCTTTCCTTTCGTGAAGCAAGACAGATCTACCTGTCGCCGTTACATGCGTACTGTATATTGCCAGAACGGTGAGCAGGTGAGCAGGTGAGCAGAACGGTACTGGTATGGAACAGTATCTGCACAAGCAATCCTAGCTTATTTCCAAGTTGCACCTTCGAACCATGAAGATTGGGAAGAGGTATATACAGCCTCGGTCAGTCACCGAAGTTTGCAGCGAATGCCGTAGAATTCTCTCGCTGGCTAGATCGATCGGCGCATATCGCGAGGCAGGTGTAAAATATAATATTGAAATTATTTCGGATAAAGCGCGTAACGAAGCTGCGCATGCGCACTTACACGACGTACGGACACGGGCGTTATAAATTTTTATAAAAAAAAACAAACTAACATTAAGAGGTCCCATTGTTTTCTTGGTAGTTTTTTTAGTTTTTCACGATTACTGGCACAGCAATCACTAGTTTTTCTTCGTCAGAGTTAGCCATTCTGCGACAACGAAGCACTCTAGCCTCTCCAACTGAGACTGAGGGTGGTTTGGCAATAGTCACTGTGGTTGGGGTAGTAGAAGACATAGTGCACTGTTTGGCGACTGAGAATATTGCTCTAGGGGCTCTATGTGGTGTGGTAGCAGATGCTGCAGATGCTGTGGCATAACCCATCTGAGGGACAGATATTATACATTACTAAACCGAACTGGTCAACTGAGATATGAGCAACTCGAGAATGCTGAGGATCCAACAGCGGTTTTAACAAATAGATATTCAGACGACCAAGTAGGCTTGATTCACTTGCCAATTTTAACAGCCATTGTGATTGTGTAAACACTTGCACGTTGTTGCATAAAACTTACCTCTTCAATATCCATGGGTTCATCTTTTTCTTGTGCCTTCTTAAAGAAAGGAGGCTCGCAATCCATAGGCTCTGGTGGAGGATCCATGTTGAGAGTAGGCTGTCTAATATTAGCTAGCAACCCAGGATGAGCACTATAAGTTGGATTTACTAGATTGGGTTGTCCCTTGGATAGACTAGTTGCTCCATGATGATAGTGACTATTGGAGAGTGGAGGATAGAAGAACCAACTACTCTGTGCTAGCGGGGTAGGAGTTCCTGTCTTGTGAAATAGGGACGCTGAAGGGAGGGGGTTTAATGGATAGCTCACCGACATTGTGTTACCAGTTGAGTGACTATAATTAATTATTGTTGAGTTTATTTCCAGAATGTCAAAATTCTCTTCAACAATTGGGGTGTCTCTGCATTTGTGTATGAGTGGTGTGACACACTCGAACCTATGGTCAGGCTCATACACTTAGTGTGAGTTTAGACCGATGGAACGGGGATGCTCTGTGTATCGTGTGCAACGTACGGTGAGTGAGGTGTGTGTGGTGGTGTGAGCATGCGAGGCTGTTTGCTCATTGTCTATCATGCCAACAGGTAGTCTATCTGGTTCAAATTGCTGACTTAGGCACATGTCACATGCTAGAACACATTCGCGATCTTGGTCACTATTCATGTGCGTTCTCGGTAATAGTTGCTCAACGAGGCGGCAAGACTAATTGGGATGATGCAACATTCTCAACACCTACAGTGATTACTCCTTAAAAGGAACATTAGTAGGAGCCCTGACGTCGGAGGAGCTCAACACCGAGTCGAGAGAACGCAGCGGGATGCTCAACGAGGCTGTAAAACGGGCACTGCCAGTGCTGAAAAAATCGGGACAAGGGGTGGATGTGTGGGACGTAGACGCACTCTGAGCACGGGGATCACTCAACGGGGCCGGTCGCAGTATTCGTGGGCGCTCGTGCGTGATACAGTGCTCGTAACTACGTGCAGGATGCGCACGCAGCGGGTCGTATGATGTGTCACGCTGACAAGTGCAGGGCATGGATCATTCCGAGCCCCGCAGGCAGCCCTCTGTCAAGGGTGTCCATACCATTCTCCCAGGAGTCGAACAGACACAAGGGTTTCGGAATTGTCCAGTTCCAACACGTGGAGAGTGTCCCCTACAGCCTCCAGCTAATGGCTGGCATAAGGCTCTTTGGCAGAGTTATCAATCTTTGTCCTGCCATGCCCATGCCTGCCCTCCCTCCTCCCTCCTCTTCCTCCTCGGTTTCTTCTGTCGCCAGTAGTGGGAATCCATTTGTGTCTGCGTTTGAGAGCCACGTGACTCGGAAGGAGGCCGAAACGGTGACAGCTAACCCGTTTCTGAGCTCTCTGTGTACGTATCGTGGAGGCCACCCTCTCCGTCCTCCTCCTTACCGTCCTCTAACATTACTCCCACACCGTCCCCAAACCCGCCTTACTACTACCACCGCCTCCGTCTCGACGCCCGCACACTCCTCCTTTTTCTCCCTCCATCTCTTTTCGATTTCTTCTTCTACCCCTCCTCCTCGGTTCATTCCCAACCCCCACACCCTCCTCCCTACCTCCTACCCCCTCTCTCTCACTGCCCACTCAACCACCCACTTTTCTCTCTCTTCTTCCCAATTCATCTGTCACACCCTCCACCCCTCACCCCTGTCCCCCACCTCCCCTTCGCCCCCCTCCCCTACCACCACTCAGCACCACTCTGTCGTCTACATATTTGCCACACTTTGGTCCTGTACCCCCTCCCCATGGGGAGCGAAACGTGGACCCGACTGGTGGTGTGTCCCTCTCTTTGGCACAGACCATCACGGAAATGGCGTCAAACTCTGTGGACGATAGTACGGTGCTACCACACACCACTGATGGCACCACTGATGCAAGTGACGAACAATTTTGTACTGTTTTGACTGGTAATGATACTCGTGCCATGGAAAACTGTCCAATGTCGCTGGAGGTGTGTTTGATCAAAGGTAGAGAGGTTGGCTCTGGGACCTACGACTTACCCCCCCTCAGCTGATGGTGGTAGTGGTGCAGACCGGAATGGCTCCCAAATTGAGCTAGAGAGACAATCCCAGTCTGGTAGTGGTCTCTTTTCTGGTGTGTCTGACAACAAGCGCAATCCGTTCACTGACAATAGTGTGGTACCCCACCCCAGTGATGACCAAATGTGTAGTGTTGTGGTAGACCTCCAGGACCAAACTGGTGGTGACAATGGTATGGCACCCTACCGCAGTGATGACCAAATGAGCAGTGGTATGGCACTCAGTGGTGACCAAACGGGCAGTGGTATGGCACCCTACTCCAGTGGCAACCAAATGACCAGTGGTGTGGTGCATTTCTCGGACGATGAGCAACCAGACAATGGTATGGCACCCCACACTAGTGATGACCAAATAAGGAACGGTCTTGTACTCTTCCGCAATGATAGTTATTTCGATGATGATTCCCAGTACCATGACGACAGTGGATACGTAAGCTCTACTTTGCTGCGAAAACATGCCAGATTTGAGACCGACGCTGACGAAGACGACCATGACGAACCGTACCGTGATGGTCCCTCTCACCCGCCCCCTGAGGTGCCACTAGACTACCACACCGAACTACAACCGTTTGGTCAACCGCCCACAAAGCTCCACCGATCCCGTCTCAGTAGTAGGGACCACCTCTCCCGCGAGACCAGACGAAACACAATGTACCACCGCTCTCGGTTGCAGCGACTACAGGACACCATTGGGCAGCTGAAGGAGGCTATAATTGTAGAGAAATCCAACTCCCCCCTTCACTCCACTACTTCCACTCACCAATAATGACAAGATCCATTCTTCACCAATACTGGTACTGATATATACGATCATGTAATAAATTACAGAGAATTACTCTGTGTTTGAGTTAGTCCACCATTACATGTCCAATTATCACGAATCACTTATCACTTTTCGATCAATAAAGTATATTATTGCAGTGTCTGTTGATGAAGTTGTTAGCGATGTTACAAAAGTTGTAATTATGTATAATTCTAATGTGCCATTGGAAAATCTTGGAGCTGGAAATCTAATATACTACACTTGAAACTGTATGTAGCTATATATACATACCTGAATTTATGACATAATTATTGTGTTTGTATAATTATAGGCATCACGTCATGGTGTGGTGATATGGGATTACAAAACGAACAGAAACCAACTATATACGATTGCTATGGTATGTGCACACATCAAGAGAAAAAAGAAAACGAAATCACAGTCTGATAACTGACACGAGGTAATTAATTGGTGAGGGGGTGTGGTCATGAGATGGTGACGTCCTCGAGGATGATCCCGCCCAGCTCGGGGTCAGAGGTCGTCGTGGAGTCCGCCGGGACCAAGATGAAGATGGCATGTACCAATACCACCACTACGGACGCTCCTGGAAGAGAGGGGAGAGAGTGAACAATTGCAAACACAAAAGGGCAAATTGAAGTTGCTTGTACATGGTTCACATTATCCATTTTTCAGGTATGGCGACAGTGTTGTAAAATGAAACCACCACCACCTAGGCTCATTATGTATTTAGCAGCAAAAACCAGACACACCAAATGCGAGTAAAGTTAACACAATCGTGTTAATCGTCTTAATGGTTTTGTTCTATTCATGGTACACACACATTCTTTTGTCCCCTGCTTGTAATGATTGCCCACTTCAGGAATCAGAGGTTTGCTCGATTGGTTCAAGATTGAATCCGTGCATTCTCAACACAGTCTTAGTTATGCACAGGCATAAATGTATTAAAAGCCTCTACCAAATTATGTGTGATTGAGTTCACATGCACATTGATGTGTATGTATATATATATGTACCAATGATCCAAAAGACGGTACTGCCAGCTCCAGCAAAGTAGAGGACTGGTATCATTATCACACCCACCACCATATACATCTCCATGGCACTGGTCTCTCTACCTGTATAGTCCACCAATGAGACAGGGAGGAATAACGGTAATAGCTCTACTTCATGTTGTACTAAACACAGCGGAACCTCAGAATAGTGTGTCCAGAACGAGGTACGTAGGAAGGCAAAGGCAAAGCAAACAAGTCAACTACACATGGACACTTATGGACCACATAGAGAGGTTGTCCTCTCGTTGAAAGTTAAAAATGTACTTGCGTAATTGAATCAGGGACCTCAAAGTGTGCCCTTTATTGAGAGGTTCTTTCTATCATGTCCCTCATTCAGTGTCCTTTGTGGGAGGTTCTACTGTACAAGTGTGTGTCAGTGGATGATTGGCTACCAAGTAGCTTGATGCTCTCTCCCTTGTTCTTGATGGCCATCAGCCACCACACAGCCATACAGAATGCCAGGGCAAACAGCAGAACTGGGTTAGTCACACTGAGGGAAGAGAGAGGGGAGAAATGGGGGAATGGGGAAAGAAGAGAGACAAAAAGAGGGGAGAGGTGTGAGAAAGGTAGGGACAGAAGAGGTGGAGGGAAAGAGTAAATGACAAACGAAAGGGAAGAAGGGGAGAAAGCAGGTATGAAGGGAAAACTAAACTGTTAGTTGACTAGGAGAACACTATTCTTTCAACTGACAATAGTCATCGATTTCGAAGAATGGAACCTTTGGCACATAAATCGATGACTGGAATAGAATGGTATAAAAGAGGGGAAATAGGTTCTATGCAGAGACCAAGTGAAACAAGAGAAGGTATAGAGCTACAACAACACTCCATTGTTATTATTAAGCCGCCATACAATAACAGTATATATAGAGAGAGAGCCTTCAACTAGGGACCAGCTCACATGCAGTAGACCATGAGCCCGAGGAATACAAACAGATAGTTGCTCTGGAAACGGGCGACGTTGCTCAGGATCCTCTTGATGGCGTCTCCACTCCCCTTGGGTCGGGAAACGTAGCGGAGATTGAAAAATTCCGACCACGGTCGCACACCTGCATGCTTCTTCTGCCAGTGTGCATGCATGCGTAGAGAGAAAGAGAATATTAGTCATTGTTGTATGTTCTAAATATAGCTGCAATATGCTTCTATATTTACACACAGGTAGAACATTACATTATACCAATACTATATACCAATATCTTAATAATTAGTTGGCATTGATTCTTGTTCCCTATTAGCTGATGCCCATCAACATGCTATTTCTTTCATCTCCCCCTCTCCCCCCCTCTCTCTCTCTCTCTCTAACCTGTATCCATGTCTTGCCAGTGGAGAAGCTGCCCAGGAGTCCTGCAGAGGCACCTGCTACGTCCTCTTTAGTGATCATGGTGAACGGTTCCATCTCTTCCTCCTTTCCACCTTCTTCACTCATCACCTCACTCACCAGTCTCACACTTCACACCCCGGGCACACCCCCTGCGGATGGAACAAAAACACAATTGCAGCGGGAGGCCTGACCCGACCCCCGGGGTGTCTTTCCCCCTCTAGCGAGTAGAAAACGCGTAACGTGCGTGAGTTTCGATCATCGCGAAGCGCTTGTACATGCATAAACTTTACCTCACGCTCTTTCACACAAAAAGCAGCAGCCACAGAGCTACTGACACCCACAGAAAACTATGTGCCAGTGATGGTGATCGATGACACGAAAACCACGCCTCCCTATGACGTCAACAGCATAGATTCCGATCCTCCAACGGAGAGTAGAGTTCGCTGTCAGGAGTTTAGTGATAGTCTCTGGAGAGGCGGATAGAGAATGGGCTGCGGCTCTAGCATGCCGGTAGTCCCTGGCGAGGACGTCCCGACCAAGACAGTCTACCTGAGTGTCAAGGGGGAGAGCAAGTCTGTAAGTGTGGTGGAGCTAGCTGGGTAGCTATGGTGTTTTGGCGGTGGCCAGCTAGCTACGTGTCGGGATCCAGAGCTCGGGTGGCAGTAGCTGAGTAGATTTGTTGTGCCGTTTCTGGATCTTCTAGCTAGATGGTCGGTGGTGACCGAATTTTGTTTGTAAACAGCTGACCTGAGCTGAGCTGAGCTAGCTAACAATGCATGTTTACACCCGTCTCTAGCTAGATATGGAATCAGATTTTTACCAGTTGCCAGTCTACTCTCACTTGTTTGTTGGCAAACACTGGTGAAATGTTCTTGCCTGCAAACGCTCCACCCTCTCTACCTTGCTCCATTCCCAGTTTGTGTTATACTGGGCAAGGTGCACAGGTCTGACCTTTATTCCACGAGGAATAGCTAGCACCATTCTCTCTCCCTTCCCTCCCACTATTTCCCACTTCTCCCCTCTCTCTCCAATTTTCATCTTCCCTCTTCTCTCTCCCTCCATTCTCCTCTCTCTCTCCCTCTTCCTCTCCAGGTGGCATTCTCCTCCGACTGCACCTCACAGGAGGTGAGAGAGGTCCTCAAATCTGCTGCCAAGCTAAACAGGTACATACATAATACGGTATGATGCACACTTACACAGATGGTGGAACACTCTCCTAGAGTGCAGAGTGTCATGGGTTGAATCCCACCTACTGTACCTCTTTCAAAAAAGGTTTTCTGTGGGTGTAGTTGAGTTGTTTGGCTTTGCTTTGTCTTGACGTCGTTGATGATGCAGTCATGCCATACTTACAATGTATCTTCTATCCATCGCTACACACCAATGTAATAATGCATAACTCCAATCTGTAAAAATTAACAGTATGTGTGTGTCTTGGGTAATGATGTGGTATAATTATTACTGTCCAAGAGGTGGAGAGGTAGACCACAGCATATGTGTCGGTTGTACGAAATAACGTTTGTCTCCCAGCTAGCTGGAGCCATAGTAACCATGTTACGTACATGTACACCATGATGCTGTGGATTAAACAATGTATTGTGTTGTGTTGGTGGAGAGCCAGTCATACGTATGGTCCAGATCTATTGGTGGTCCAGATATGTCGGTTTCTGTCTCAAGCTACATTGATCTGGCACCATGCAGTGCCAACGCGATACGACAAATGTAATTACTTTAATAGTGTTCTGTTTATTTGGAAAATATAATCAGCCAATCAATCGACCAATCATCTCGCTGTGCATGCCGCGTCCAACTAATAAGAGGCGACTACTAGTTGTGTACAGGGCACGACAGACACACGCACGCACGCACGCACACACACACACACGCGCACACTCTGCAAATAGAGGATCATGTGTCTGCTGGTCTGTTTGTCTTCCTGTCCTCCCTAATTTTGATACGCATTCTCTGACCTCATATTTCCATTCAAACATCAGCAAAATTCTTTTATTAATAATGTCTCCAGAATATATATGTATATAATAATATTGTATACTGTCTGTTTTTGGCACCGCTTTGTTTCACAAAGGTAGTTGGATCTTTAGAATGGCTGCAAATTTGTCCATCCCATGGATTTACTGGACTTTCATTGGCCCATTCCTATGTTTGTATATCCATTAAATTGCCAAACACACCTGACCGTAGATGATATATATATAGTACCACACCAGGCTGTATCGTTTATTGTAGGTAGGCTAAGGTATGCATATTGTGTGTGGTAAGAGTATGTTGATGTTTGGAAAGAACATGCCAACCACTCCCCCTCACAGAACACCACAGAACATGTTAGCGGTGTTTTATTAGTTTCTCCTGGGATCACCGTGGCAACACCGGAATTCAATAGCCGTTAATAATGTTTATGTTTGTTGTTGTGTGAATGTCAGATGACAACGTGTTATAGAAGTGGAGAAGATATTGCATGCGTGAATACATGCATACGATGCCTGGAGGTGGTCCATATGATATTGCCATACATTCTCTATTGAGCTGTGTCATGTTCCTATGACATATCATTACGTCACCTATTGCAAGTAGACTGATGTCTGTCTTGTGTCTGATTGGAGGGTGCAAAGGGCAAGTGTGTGATGCAGAATACTACTGTCCCTCATGTTATAAACATTGTTTGAACAATGGCGTTAAAAGAAAATTGCGTCAGAAAACTGTTAAGCACAGTGTATGGCATGTAAGAATGGTAGTGGTGTCTATAGGATGGCAGAGTGTTGGGAGGTGTTGAGTTCTGGCAGTTGGTCACTGGTAGCTAGGTCAGATATGGCTCTCTAGGGGAATGGATGGTAGCTAGGTCAGAATGGCTCTCTAGCGGAATGGATGGAAGTGACCATGTTACAGGACTTGTCCCTAACAAGGAGAACAAGTCAAGAACATTGTTGGATAGCAACCAATTATGGCGTGAGTTCCTCCAGATTGAGTGTGGGTTGGTGTACCTCTGTCCAGTGGAGACAGGTGTTGAGTGTGGGTTGGTGTACCTCTGTCCAGTGGAGACAGGTGTTGATTCCAAGAAACTAGGTCCACTGGTAGAGGAATGACATGAAGTACATGGACCCCAGACATAGTTTAGTCTGTCTAGACAAACTAAACTATGCACCATTACTAGCCACAGTGTTTTCCAACCCCTCATGAATATAAACATACCTCTGACACCACTGGCCTGACAGCACATGTTTTCATCCATTGTCTAGTGTAACCCCTAGCCCCGCCCCCTTCTCGTATTCCATTGTTCACGAGTAAGAACCGATTTACCTATACACACATCATGTGATGAGGTTTTGACTGCATGCGTACACGTGCATGACTTGTTTGCCTTGCCTTGCCTTTCTACCTCGCTAGTTGTTGAGACATGTACAAGTAGGTCATAACATTGACCGCTGAGTCTGTACAACCTACAGGTGGTCGGAGTATCTCTGACTGACAGAAACGGCTCTCTGCTGGCCATCAATGCCTCAATACCGGCCAACTCACCAAGGTCAGTTAGTGACCTCTCTCTTAGGACACCCCTGAAATGAAGACACCGCTCTAGTAAGGACACTTTCTCTTTCCCCCAAAAGAACAGTTCTTGCACGCAGTTTAGCATTTAACCCTGAGATTAAGGTCGCCTCACAACTAATATGGACACTTTCTTCTCTCCGGGTTAGAGGGTTGCACTGCAAACCTATCTCTCGTTTGCCGTGCAACTAACTAGTAGGAATGCTCGTTAGTTAGTGCAGTTTTTCATCGTGTTAACTGTCCACTTTGGTCATGATGTACATCATTTCTCCCCCCCTCCTGTGTATATACCCCCCACAGCTCTCCATACATTCTCAATGAGGAGCCTGGCTCTCAAGGTGGGTGCACATTTCCTCCTCCATATTGACCTGTATGATCTCTCTCTCTCTTCCAACAGAAATGGAGGTGTTTCAGAGTGTCCTCACTAAAGTGGGAGACGAATTCTCAAAGTGAGGGTTTATACGCTTACCTCTCTTCACCAGTCTCCCTTTCTCCCACCTTCATCTATCTCTCTCTCTCTCTCTCTCTCTCTCTAAAGCAGCGCAAAGTCTTTTCCCTTCCATTTTTTACCCTCCCATTTCTCTGGGTGACAGAACTAACTCCTCCCTCTCATCCCAAACTGTCAATTTTGTCCTTCTTCTCTTTCATCCTCCCTCCTCCTCCTGCTCAGAGCGTTCAAGATGAGAGAGTTTCAAGAAGATATTTCGGAGAGACTGAGGAAAGTGGAGGCCAGACTCCAAAGTACGTGTACATATAATATAGTCATTACTGGCTCGTTACTCAGGGTTCACCTCTACAAATTGGTCCCACTATTTGCATGGGGAATGTTAATTGCTGTGGTATTATGGTGATAAAGAGTGAAGTGAAAATGTCCTTGTTTTTGCTGGTGATGTGATTAGGTCGTGAATTTGCTTGTTTGTCTCCATATGAAGCCCACCTGGATACTGTGTATGTATGTATGTATGTATGTGTGTATGTATGTATGTATGTATCTCTCTCTCTCTCTCTCCCTGCAGTGGAGGGTATGAAGGCAGTAGAGATCGGAAACACCAGTCGCAATACAGGAGCTGAAACTAGCTGCTGACACTGCTTTCTGGGGCCTCTGATTCAGTTCATACAGTAGCACTTCCTATCTCCACGCTTCTGTATGTGGTAGTTACAACTGGCTGACTTTTCTTCATTGGTGTCTGTGATTACACATACCACTCCGATATCTAGACTCCTCACTCTCTTTATCTAGCATACTCTCCCTAAACTCACTCTCCCCTATGTCTACATACCAGACCAAGGTCACATCACCAGCAGCAGAAGCCGCCAAGGAAGCGCGGCGTCCCCCCCTACCCCAAGTACATCCTCACGGCGGAGACGGAGGAATACTTGAAGAAACCGACATTTGACATCTGGCACTGGGAACCAAATGAGATGGTGTCCCTCATGGAGCACATGTACCAAGACTTGGGGCTGGTGGCCCACTTCCACATGAACCCCGTGACCCTCAGACACATGGCTGGTAGCTGATCACATTAGTATTAATAGTCAGGCTTCACTACTGGCATGTCCGAACCTCACTGATTGGAACGAGATTCGTCACTCACTATTATGAGTGTAGGATATGTGTGTTTGTAGCCTATTTCCCCCTCCCTCTCTTCTTCCACTCCTCACAGCTGGCAGAATTTCCGGAGAGTTCGAGAACTATCGCGACAACCCGTTCCACAACTTCAGACACTGTTTCTCCGTCACGCAAATGGTTAAGACGGATCAGCTTCTTAACCGAACGCTCGGTTTTCTAACATCCCCGCTTTCGCCACTTTTCCCCGTATGTAGGAAAATGAGTGCGAGAGACGAAAGAAGCGGCCGGCGGGCGCGAAGAGGCTGAGCAGGAGGGACGACAGATAGAGCGCCGGGATGAAGACTAATGTGACGGGGATGAGAGAGCGAAAGTGTACTGCTACCTTCTCCCATTTCACTTTTCGTGAAGTGTGGTTCCTCACCTATCATCGGGGCAAATCTAGTGTCCTGCTCTTCTATCACCTCACTAACCCAACCCGACTACTTCTACCCCACTGTAGTTCATGTACGGTATGATCCACCTGTGTCATCTGCAAGACAACCTGACTCCCCTGGACCTATCTGTCCTCATGACCTCGGCCATCTGCCACGACCTCGACCACCCTGGCTACAGTAACAGGTCCGTCTTCTAGCCTCCCACTACCTCCTTTCCATGCTCATTCTCTATATACACATGGACTGTGCGCACTCTCTACATGAACCGTAAAATAAACCACATACTCTTTTGTTTGCTGAATTTGTGATGATGTCATCATTGATCATGTGATCTCCTGCAGCTATCAGACATCAACGCGCGTACAGAGCTGGCAGTGCTCTACAACGACATCTCACCTCTGGAGAATCATCACTGTGCCGTCGCCTTTCAAGTCCTTGACAAGGTACAGATATCTATACTACTAAGTGCCTTTGGCCTCGGACGTTGGGAATGTAATGGGTGGGTCGGAGATTGCCGAAGGTCTGGGCCCCTTCAAGATGTGGAATGACGTACTGTGTTAATTTCAGCGGAACGACGCGAGACTA